GGACCCAAGAGCTCACCAGAACGCCCCCCCCCAAGAGAGGCACAACACATCGCCATGAGTTGTTATTTCAAACCGGCGGTTTAGTCTAGGTCCTCTTGTGTCCCCTGAAGGGGCTTCTTGGGGCCCGCACATTCATGGCATAATAAAAAAAAAGGCGCCGAGAGGGCCCAATGGGGGCCCCGAGAGGGCCCTGCGAGGTGTCACGTTCAACGCCCTTGAAAATGACGCCTCCAAAGGTTCGCCGCCGTCGTCGTCGTCGTCGTTCCCGCCGTCGTCATCAACGTCGTCGTCGGCATCGCCCCCGCCATCGACGTCGTCGTCGCCATCGGCATTCTGCCAACTCGCCACTTGCGTCGTCATTAACTTCGTCGCCTTCCTCCCCCGCATCACCACTGCGTCCTCGTCGTCAAAGTCATGGCCACTATCGCCATCACAATCACGATTGCGATGGTCACCGTCCTCGTCGGCATCGTCGTCGGCATCGCCAGCGCCATCTTCATCACCACAGCCACCGCCACAGTCATTACCACCATCTGCATCATCATAATCATCGCCATCGGCGTGGTCGTCGTCGACGTCCTGCAACCTCGTCATCTGCGTCGTCATCGTCATGGTCACCCTCCTCCTCCTCCTCCTCCTCCTCCTCCTCCTCCTCCTCCTCCTCCTCCTCCTCCTCATGACTTCATTCTCGTCATCGTCGTCACAAGCCTCGTCATCGTCGTCGTCGTCATCGGCGCCGTGCTCGTCGTCGCCGTTCTTTCCGTCGCCATCATCGTCCTCGTCGTTATTGTCGCAATCGTCAGCGTCGCCGTCACCGTCACAGTCATGGCCATCCGCCTCCTCCTCCTCCTCCTCCTCCTCCTCCTCCTCCTCCGCATCATCATTAACGCCGTTGTCACCGTCGCCACCATCAACGCCACCACCACAATCACCATCACATGGACCATCACCATGCGCATCATCATCGCCATCGTCGTCGCTGTCATCGTCGTCCGACCAACTCGCCATCTTCGTCGCCGTCGTCTTCCTCCTTCTACTCCTGCCCATCCTCCTCGCCCCCTCCCCCCCCGTGCCCCTCCAACCACCGCCTCCCGAACGGCCCGCCCAAGGCGCGCGGGGGCAGCTTCTTATGTTGACTAGGCGCTGAAAGGGCACCTGCTATGAAGCCCCAGACGCCCCGCGTCGTCTTCAGGACATCCGACGCCCGAACTAGGCAGAGCCCAGCGAACCTCCACTACGCCCCCGCAAGGTCACCAAAAGGCGCCCAAGAGAGGCCCACGAGAGGGACAATGCGAACTTAGGTGCCCCGACGTCATTGTCGTCATCGTCGGCGTCGTCACCGTCGTCATTGGCGCCCCTTATCGTCGTCATCATCGTTACCGTCGTCATCGCCATCATCGCCATCGCCGCCATCATCATTGTCGCCGTCGCCATTGTCATCATCACCAGCATCAGCATCGCCATCGTCGTCGTCATCGTCTTCCTGTCGAATTGTCACGGTCGTCATGCTGCGGCCACGTGGGCGGGACTGCAGGCGTCGCGCCCCGTGGAAAATCCGAAGGGAACATGTGATGCAACACTAAGATTGCCAAGCATTTCTCCCGTGTCGTCGCCATCCTTATCGTGATTGTCGTCGTCGCCACTGTCATTATCATCGTCGTCGCAATCGTCAACGTCGCCATCGCCATCATCACCATCATCATCAGTATCATCATCATCGTCATCATAACCATCGGCGTCGTCATCGTCGTCTTGCCAATTCGTCATCTGCCTCGTCATCGTCATCACTTCCCTCTTCCTCATCACCGCGTCATCTTCGTCGTCGTCGTCATCGTCCTAGCCCTTAGCCGTCGCCATCGCCGTTATCGTCGTCATCGCCATTATCGCCGTCTCCATCGCCAAACTCGAAGTCATGCTCGTCATCATCATCTGTCGTCGTCAGCACCGTCGTCGGCATCGTCATCGTCATCCTCATTATCATCAGCATCAACATTATCATCACCACCATCGCCCTCGCCATCACCATCACCATCACCATCACGGCCGTCGCCATCGTCGCCATCGTCGCCACGGCCAGCATCATCGTCATCGCCGTCGCCATCGTCGCCATCGTCATCTCAAACTGGGGTATTGACGAAGATAGACGATCAACGTCTCGCTTTTTGCGGTACGACAAAGGCCAGATGGACATTCTGTACAACAAGCTTGTTTTGTACATAATTTCCTCTTTGAGAGTTTTCCACGGGGAGGGGCGCCTGCAACCCCATTCAGATTGATGGCAGCATGGAGTGTTTGTGCGAAGCGTGTTGGTAGGATCAGACTCAAACGTGCGGCAGTTCGGCGAATATCGGTTGAACTGCGTGTGACTAGGTGAAACTGGGTGTAACTTGTAACTATGTGTAACTGGGTGTAACTGGGCGGAGCAGTGTGCAACTGGGTGAAACTGGGTGTAACTATGCGTTACTACTGTGTGCAACTGAGTGTAACTATGTGTAGCTGGGTGTAGCTGGTTGTAATTGGGTGTAACTAAATATTTCTAGTATCTAGTCATCTAGTCGGAAGCGCTCTCCTGGCATTTGCTGTGACGCTCGTTGCCCGCACGCTGGTAGGCCCCGCGAATCCCGAGGCAGCAGGGAACTCGAGAGTAGCGTCGCAGTCGCACCGCACGTAGACGAATATTATTGGAGACTAGAGGCTAAACGCTGGAAGCTTGAGACTGGGCCCCGAGTGACACCTGCACATGGTCTGGTCATAATCGCTCCAAGTGGCTGCCATGACGGGTACTTGTTCGTCTTACTTTTGCATTCGCTGCTGCACTGTATCAAGGGAAAGGTTGTGTTTTTTGTCTTTTCTTGACGCCTTCGCAACAGCCCATGGCCACGGGGCGCAAGTCACATGCGCCGGCCCGAGGGCACCCGACCGCCGGCCGCGGTGCTGCGAAAGGCGGCCGCGGCAGGTCGCGGCAGGGGCGCGGGAGAGGCAGCGGCTCGGTCAGCACTTGCGATCTGTGCCAGCGCACCGACAGGGACTGAGGGCCAACAAGCACTACGCACTTATCATCAGCACGTGTCCATGTGTCCTGGCACCCTGGACCGCTGGCCCCCTGTTGGCCGTGTCTGTCGTGGTCCGAACAATTTTGCGGTGAGGCGTTCGGGGTTTCAAAGGCCGAGTGCCCTTTGCAATCCTAGGCGCACCGCTTTTTGGCATGAGTTTGAAACGGCCCCACTTTGAGGCTCCGAGCGGGGTGAACAGTAGAGGCGTTCGGGTTCAGAGGGTTGTTGTGTTGTTGTTTTTCATCCAGGACACAGGGATGGTCCAGAACGGCGACGGCGATGAGCTGGCCGTGCACCTGGAGGAGGGGGAGGTGGCTTGCGTTGAATGCCTGAGGTGGCTCCTGGAGAACGCACCTGCGCTGTCCTGGTCAGGGTTGGTCGCAGCTCAAGAGGCAGGGCAGTTGCGTGATTTGTGTCAGCAGGGCTAGACGCCAGCTCAGAAGCAACCAACGAGGACGCCTCCCATGACGCTCAACCTAGGCGACTCCGTCGACTGCGGCTTCGAGCTCTACGTGAAGTGCGCTGCGCTGACGGCCAAAGACGTGGAGCGGGAGTTCGGGAGAACGGCCAAAGCACTACACATCAAACCAATTGAGATTCCATCTCGGCCGACCTCGTTTACCGTCTATTTGGTGAAGGCCTGCCCCGAGTCGAGGGGCAAGCATCCAACATTCGAGCTGTACCACCGCAATAGCACCGTGGTCAGCGTCGGCTACCTCGAGCGAGGTGCCCAAGAGCTGTTCGAGAATCAGTACACCGTGTTGTTTGGTGCTACCAGTGAGGAGGAGGAGGAGGGGAGGGGGAGGAGGGAGGAGGGGGAGGGAGGGGAGGAGGAGTAGGAGGAGGAGGAGGAGGGAGAGGAGGAGGAGGAGGGGAGGAGGAGGGAGGAGGAGGAGGAGGAGGAGGAGGAGGAGGAGGAGGGGTGGCGAGATCTACCTCGACCTCACGCCTGGCGCGCGCTCGTCCATCGCGACGAGGGGCCGAGGCGCGGGGCCGCGCTGGCAGCATAGCGGAGAAGGAGCGCCACGAGGACCCGCGCTGGATCGAAGATCGGCGAGCAGGACTCCTCCTCCTCCTCCTCCTCCTCCCCTCCTTCTCCCCTCCTCCTCCTCCTCCTCCTCCTCCTCCTCCTCCTCCGCCTCCTCCTCCTCCTCCTCCTCCCCCTCCTCCTCCCCCTCCTCCTCCTCCTCCTCCCCTCCTCCCCTCCTCCTCCTCCTCCTCCTCCTCCTCCTCCTCCTCCTCCTCCTCCTCCTCCTCCTCCTCCTCCTCCTCCTCCTCCCCCTCCTCTGCCTCCTCCTCCTCCTCCTCCTCCTCCTCCGCGGCGGAGGGGGCGATGACATCGAGGTGATTGAGTTTGAGGATGCGGCCTCGAGCAGCGTGCATCCCTTCGGCCCAGATGCCGCGGCGGAGTGCACTGGGGCCGCTTCCTCCAGAGCTGACTCCATCGATCATCGGCCTGGCAGCGCGGTGAAGAGGCAGCCGTCAATGTCGCCGCGTGACATGGGCGGTGAGCCTTCGAAATCTTCGAGGACGGCCGCGGTGCCCACCGACAGTTACGAGCCCGAAAAGCAGAACCCGCACACGCTCGGCACAGTTGACTACTGGGTCTTGGAGCTGGCGTCCGAGAGGGCCTTCAACGGCCATAAGCATAGAACAGCCGAGCACCAAGCTAGACAACTCGTCCAGAAGCTCACGGGCACGGAGCGCCGCACGCTGGAGACCCACTTGGAGCTCTACACCAAGGCGAAGCTGTTCCATGAGAAGGCTGTGGCGAAGGTGCCAGACGGGAAGCTGATGGTCTCATGGGAAGTCCTCCGAAAAGCGGGTGCCACGCTCACGCAACGGGCTGTGAAGGCATTGGCCAGGATGACTGCCATGAACGCCTGGGAGGACATCAACAAGGCCGACCTGGTCACGGACAAGATGAAGCAGTAGCTGGTCGGCTTCATGGAGCGGTGTCGGCCTTGGGGCTTCACCGCCAAACCTCGGGATGTGGTGAACCATGTGCAGTGTGCTTGGTCGATGGGTGCACGTCCGACGTCGACGTCGCGAACACCTTCCTGGAGATCACCGTCGCAGATACCCTCGCAGAGTGGCTCACGACAGATCCCAGCGCGGCTGACAACGTCAAGCTCTACTGCGAGGCAGCGGAGCTCGTCTTCGCATCGCTGCCCGAAGACGCGGAGCTCGGCGACCACTCTGCTACAGTTTACCTCGAGATGACTTCAGCGATTCGAGTGTTGCAGGCGACGTCCTTGACAGCGGACACTAACATGCAGGTGTACGTGGACGCAGGGCGCTTGGAAGCTGATGGGCCAGGCGCTCCTGACGAGCGCCAGCGACTTCTGGGCTAAGAAGTTGAAGTGGCTGACGGAGCACGCAGATGCCGTCACGAAGAACGGCGGCCAGGTGAACTCGGCCATCGCCGGGCTGGAGCGGATGGACGCTAACCTGTCGGAGCAGCGCGCCAAGCTGCTCAAGCGCATCGTGGACGACGCACCGTACTGGGAGGCCGCCATGCACATGGGCTGCGCGGACGAGTGCAAGGCCATGGTCCTCAACAGGTCCATCTTGCAGTGCAAGGCGCTCACTTCTGATTGCGAGGTTCGGGGGGGGGAGTAAGCCCACTTGCACTCCTGTGTCCAGTCCCCGTCGGCTTGTCTATGGGGCACCAGTAGCTAGGACTAGCGACTGCTGACTAGCAGCTAGTAGTACACGCCGATAGGGTTGGACGTGAGAGCGCAGGTGGGCCCGTTATCAGATGCGTTGACCACGCGGAATGATGGTGATGAGGAATTGACTCACCGTCTGAAGGATGCGTTACACAGCTGTCGCATGAAGCCCTTGCCCGAGAAGCTGCTGGAGTCGTGCAACTCGTTATGCGCCTCCATCATTGTCGACCTCCTCAAGAACGGGGCCGACTGGACTACGAAAGATGGTTTCATGTTTGAAGTCTTGGAGCTCTTAGCGCCTAACGTGCCATCTTCATCGGTGGATGCTTCAACGGCGTGGCAGCGTGGCTGGGCGCTGCCTGGCGCGTGGCGCGCGTCCAGACAACGCTCGCGCAGGCGGAGCACCACGTGGAGGAGGGTTTGCAAGATGCTACGCCTGCCGACGTCGAGCGCCACGCCAGGGAACTGACCCGTGCCGTCCAGAAAGCGAACCACAACGCCCGCAGCACTGCCCTTGAGAAGTTTCACGCTGGCGCGTTGCTGCAGGTGGCTGACGCCGTGAACCCTGCGAGCGATCTTGTCCAGAAGGTCGGGGCGAAGATCGTCAGCGTCCTGTGCGAGAAGACAAGGCAGGACTTCGCGAACCTGAAGAAGAGCGCTGAGGAGGCGGCTGGCGTCGCTGCGTTAAAGAAGGAGTGCGACAATTGTACGACTCTCAATGCCGCGCTCGACCTCTACCGCCTCGGCCTGTACGGGGCGCCCGTCAACGAGTGGCTCGACCAGGCGTGCACCATCGAGGGGGCCTTGGCGACCGTGGCGGGCAAGGCGACTGAGCACTCGCTGCCAAGCTACTCCACCGAGGCGACCGCAGGCATCACCGAGGGAATCGTGGTCATCCGCGCGCTCTGCATGAGCGCAGAGCTCCTGACGGCGTTCGGCACGGAGTCGCTCCAAGCTAACAAGATAGCCATGCGCAACAGCTGCACGAATACACAGCCCAAGCTCAGGAAGTTCGGCATCCAGCCTGAGTCACTGCCGCGCGTCGTTGTGTCTCGGTACAGGGGTGCGCTCAAGATGCGGTGATCGAATGCTCGATCAGTTTGCCTTCGACCCTGCTGAACTTTAGTGAGCGCCAGGGCCTGCGACGGCAGGCTCGCGCCCCCGCGGCGTGTCGACCGGCGCTGCGTCGCGAGCCCGCCCGCGATGGGGCGCGGTCACGCGCGGCCGCGGCGCGGGGCCGTGCGCCGAAGGGTGAGACAGGATCTGTGGATATAACACTATCAACGGGGCGTCTTTTCCAGCGGATAACATATGTCTCGTAGAAACCACGCGCGTCTTGGCGGCTGCGACCCCGCCGCCAAAGGGATTAGGCCAGCACCCCTGGACCGAGCCTTAAAAAGTCCTGGCGTGGGGGGGGGGGGGCCGAAACAGCAGACTTGAGAGAGAGAGAGAGAGCGAGAGAGAGAGAGAGACGTTGCGGACGAACTTTGTTTTAAAGAACGTCGAGTGTCACGAACCCCCTGAAGATAGTTATGTGCACGCACACCTCTATCAACGGGGCTTCTTTTCCAGCGGATACCACATGTCTCGTAGAAACCACGCGCGTCTTGGCGGCTGCGACCCGGCCGCCAAAGGGATTGGGCCAGCACCCCTGGACCGAGCCATAAAAAGTCCCGAACACACCCGAAAAGGGAAGTTCTCGAATTAAGGAGGGTCTGGGCGAGGGCGGGTCGCGAGAGCAAGATCGGAATAGTTGATCATGGTATCCCGAATACAATGCAGCAGCGAGTGAGCGAGCGATTCGCACAATCTCCTCGGGTAAGGTTGGGCTCTACGTGTCATTGCGGATCCTTCTAACTGGTGGTGCTGACATCCAGTCATACTGCAAAACCCCCTTTTACCTGTGCAAAGACCCCTTAGATTGGCCAGGTCTTCTCTTGGAGCTCCTCCGCAAATAAACCGAGTGCGCTTCCTCCAAGGAGCGCCGAACTGGCAAAAGTCGCTCGCAACTACCTCGACGTTTTCCCAAGACAGCATCGCTTGCACCTGCGGGATCATCCACATATTAGACGAGTTTGGATTCTCGAGAACCCACGGAATCTTACGAGCATGCACGCACTTTATGATATTCAAACACGCGTTGAGACACGCGTTTCCCTGCACCAGCTTTACCGCATCCCGTGTGTTACACCAGGGGACTCCCAAAGGATACTGGGGCGTTCGTATGACCACGGTGCGGTCTCTGGCAACTGAGAACGCCTGACAAGGTGGAGCGAACATGGCTGCTAAGAGACGGCCCAAGCTGGCGTCTTGGCGTACACATCTGAGCACAGACGGACGAGTTAAATCGCCTGGGGCCCCTCTCGGACGCCCCAGGTCCGCGCAGGCGCACCTTGTCGGCGGCCGGCGCGGGCAACCCCGCCTTCGCCCGAGAAGGAATCGCCGAGATACTGGCCTTTCAGCGCCGCTCCGTGCCGCCAGCCGCGCGGCTGGCACCTCGCAGCAGCAGCTCCTCGAGGCGCGCGTCGAGCGCCTCGCAGCGCGTCCGGGTCGCCAAGGGAAGGTCGTGCCAGGCCTTGCTCAGCCTCGCCGCCGTCTCGTACCGAACGACCGACTTGCGGCTTACCCAGCGCCCCCTCTTGCGCACCTCGTCGAGGGGGCGGAGCTGCAGGGCCCCGTCGATGCTGGGGCCGCTGTGCCGCATCATGTCGGGCGGCGCTGGGGCGCCGAGCTGGCTGCGCGTCTCCTTGAACTTTCTTGCCAGCTCTGGGCACGTGAACGCCCAGACGGGCTTGCCCTGGGGGGCCCCCGCCAGCGCAGACCATAGCGGCGTCGGCTCCAGCTGCCACTTGCAGTCCAGCGCCGCGATGTCGCCCATCGCCCCCGTCTTGGTGGTGATGCCCCTGTTCTGCGGGCAGATGACGAGAGACAAGTGCCCCGATGCACCCCGCGCGGGGGGGGGGGGCAGGTCCTCGGGTTGAATCTTCATCAGCTCGTGGGGCCGCAAGTAAGGCCCCACGCCCAGGAGGGCGGGCGCGGCCATCAACTTGTGCCCCCGCAGGCAGAGGTCGGCGGCGATCGCCTTCCACACCGCCTGAAGCAGAGGACGCCTGGAGCGGCCAGGCGCAAAGCGGTGCCAGCCCCGCAGGCAGCGCCAGGCCCGGGGGGGCCGCCGCCTGCCAGCCTTGCTGAAGGCCAGGTGGCGGTCGGCAAATGCTGCCGGCACCTTCTCCCCATAGTCCGGTTGCCGGCCAGGGAGGAAGCTCGCATTGAAGAGCTTCGCGAGCCAGCCGTCCACGTCGTCGTCGCCCGCGAGCGTTGGGTCGAGCCCCTTTGCGAACGTCTCGAAGTCCAGGAGGTGGCTCGAGTAGTAGCGCCGCATGTTGGCCGTCACCGCCTTGTCCTCCAGCAAGCTCAGGCCCTCCTTCTCGAAACCCAGCGCCGCTCCCAGATGGTTCGACAGCCGCCGCCGCGACCGCCTCGCCAGCCCCCTCGCCCTTCCGCCGACGGCGTCGGGCTTGGGCTCGGACGAGGACCTGCCGCTCGAGCTGGAGCCGGCAGGGGCCCGCGGCGCCGGCCCAAGGGCGGCGCGGCCGCCCAGCAGGTTCGGCCCCGTTGTCGGCAAACGGTGCGCCAAGTCGCCTGGCGGGCCCAACGTCCGGGAAGACCGTCTCGGCGCCGTCGGCCCGAGAGACGCACCCCCA